AATCTCCTTTATTTTATAGGATACTAACAACAACATGATTGAATTAAATTTGTTTTAAAAAAAATTATTTATATTTCAAGAAAAATTGTCTCTTGAATTATTTACATGACAAGTTAATTTAAAATAGAGAGCAAATTACATTTTGCATGTATGCTTATACTTTATATCCAATTTCATTTTCCTCTTTGATTTTTAATTTCTAGTCAAGTTAGAATTTGACCCATTCATAAGACTTTGTTTCATAAGCAAATGGAGAACAATTAAAATAGTTAATTTCTATTCGACACACTTTATTTTATATTTTTTAATATAAATTTAAAAAATTAATGAAAATAGTCAACTTTCAAACGTGCTCTTAATAGACTAAAACACTCTTTGATGTGTTAAAATAATACATTCTATTTTAACACATTATCTTATTTAAATCACATTACTTCTTTATCCTATAACGTCAAATTTAATTCATAATTTATATTTTTTTTTTATAAAAAACTAAAAAACATACTAATTTAGTACATATCAAACACCTTCTAAGAAGTGGAGGCTGGATGAGTGGTGAGGAAAAAGGGATGGAGGGAGGGAGACCAGTCCAAATCCAACCAACCAAACAAATTGAAAGGCTTTACCATTGTTGGCATTATTGCACTTGAAGGAGTCTTTGACTCTGACTAAAACGGGCAGACATTGACAATCCCAATCTCCACATTCATTCTCCATTTTCATCTCATTAGTTTGGAGTTTTCAAAATTATTTTTAAATTTTTTAAATTTTTTTAGTAAAAAATTTTAAAAATTTAATTATTTTTTAATTTATTTTTTAGATTCGTGTAATTTAAGTGTACTTGTAAAAATCTTTCCAAAAAAAAATATATAAAAATTCAGTATATTTTTATATTTTTTTGTATCAAATAATTTTTAAAAAAGGTTTTGTAAAAGTTTTATATTTTTTAAGTGTATATAGATTAAGTGGATCTAAAATTTTAAAACATGATTAAAATATTAACAAAAATCAATTAAAACCAAAAAAAAAAAATTGAAAACTCAAAAAATTATATTTTGCAAATTCCAAACCAAACTTTCTATTTCTCTCTCTTCTTTTATTATAGTGAAAATTACAAAACAATAAGAAGTAAGAAAAATACTTATTAAAAGATGAAGTGCAACTTTTGCTTTAGTTTTTTGGCATAAAATTTTTTATATCCTCCATGTTTTTGTTACTATTTTTTTTCTACACTGATTTGTAATTTTCCCTTTATGATATTGAGGGTTTGGGGTTAACTTTTTTTATTATTTATTACATTAGTGTTTTGGCATTTCCAAGAGTTAAAAAAATTAATTTGTTTGAGAAGCTATTAAAAAGTATTCTTCTGTGAATAAAAAAAAAATAACAATAATGTGACACTTAAATTTTTGTAACTAATAACAACTTTAAAAAAAAAAAAAATTTGGCCAAAAACTAATTTGTTTTTATTAAGTTTTTCCCTAGAAGATATAGATAGAGGTTGAGATTGGATCAAGAAGAGAACAATAATTGGCAAGTTGGAAATAATGTTGGAACAATTCGTCTTGAATTCTTCAGTTGGTGGTTTTCAGGTCTTCAAAACGTGGCAATAATCTTGTTTATATAGAACCGAAATTTGGTGTTTTAAGTCGTGTTATTACTTGGTCGCTTTCCTAAAGATAATATTGGCATCCACCAAAAGGTGTGCAGGTGGTTACAACAAATTTGCCTCTATGATACAATGAAGCCGGATCTAAGATCAAGTTTATTAACGTCTGCACTGATGACAATAGATCAGAATACTCTTGATATAATCAAGAAAATCAAGCCACTGATAACAATTTGATTACCAGTAAGAAAAGCAAAAACTTGCTTAAGAAACTCCTGATCGAAGAGAGAGAGAGAGAGAGAGATAATTGTAGGAATGCTTTCTAAATTTTTGGATGGATTGAAATGGCTGATTTCATAACCTATTTATAGGCCTTGATGCATATGATCGAATGGTCTTGTTTCTTGATCGCATCCGATCAGATCTGACTGTTAGATCGACAACCTATGGTGCAAATCATTCTCACGCTGAATAGATGCCTTGACTGATCATACCTGATCACGATCGGGTGCCATCTCATTCGTACGATCGCGCGTATCTCCGATCAACGGCTATGATCAAATCGCTCTAGATCGAACACGCAACCGTTCGATCGATTGATTGACTCATCGCCAAAGGACGCCACATTACTACCATGCAAAGCTGACTGTATTCCACATCACCCATGCCACGTTGGATCCATGTCATCGCTCTAACCTATCCGATGCAAATTGGAAAGCGCCTTTATGGTGCTTTGCGTCTATGTATCTGTGCAAAGTGCAAAGTGCACCATCAAACGTCACACTGCCCACTGTCCATGCTATGCGTCCGCGCATGTGCGTATGCAGATGGTACAAAGCACCATCTTTGCTATGTGAATGCATGCACACTAGCATCTATCCCACAATTCCATATTTTTGTTAAGTGCTCCATGTTTTCCTCTCTTTCTGATGTGGGACAAAGTCCCTAAGCTTATTTCTAAACTTTCTAAAGAAAAACAAGGAATGTTTTGAAAACACCTAAAAACTAAACTATAAATTTTGAAAATTCCCTAACATTCCCACATCATTTTCAAAATATCAGATGATGATTATTGGTTCACTTGGCAGCCTTATGCATAGGTGAAGATATCTTACGATTTGAATCATCTGCTTAGTGAAGACACTTTAAAGTTAGTCAAGATGCTATAGTAGCCTTGTCTTTGAACTAGCGATCTTATACAACTAATTGGAAATGTCTCACGCACAGTACATGTTACCTCAAGTTTCAAATAAACAGACACGTGGATTGGCCTTGTGTCTATATCTTGTTTCATGAGCGCTCCATAGTAAAGCCCTTGGACTCATAGAAAGCAACACCACCTCCTACACTCACATATGTAAGTTTACTGAAAGTACCCTTGTAATTTACAGTACCCTAACAACCCAGTTGTAAGCTTATTAAGAGTTTGCTAACTCATTCTTTTCTTTTCATATTACAGGTACTAAGCATTTCAAACTTGGGATGAAAATGAAATAAAACTAAATGCTTGCAATCACGACATATGGTATACTTGGGCTCATTGAACTCAAGACTTGATGTTTCTTCAAGTGTTAAGTCGAGTTTCCAGTAGGAGTGATTATGTTAAGTGGGCCTAATGGCCCTTTTGATGTTTTTCACACCAAATCCCTTGCAAGTCCCTTTGTTAAGGGGTTAGCCAAGTTTTCACTTGACTTTATATAACTAATGGTAATCACATCTTCTGTGATTAACTGCCTAACATAGCTATGTCTCAGTCCTATATGCTTGGACTTTCCATTATAGACATGGCAATAGGCCCGTGATAGAGTTGCTTCAATATCACAATGCAAAGATATTGGCGGCATAGGTTTTGGCTATATCTTAATCTTTAACAAGAGATTCCTTAGCCACTCTGCCTCTTTGCTACAAGAAGCCAATGCTAAAAACTTCGACGCCATGGTTGAGTCTGTTACGTATGTTTGCTTTTTAGAACCCTAAGAGATAGCTCTAAGAAATTCTATTTCCACACAATTAATTAACTCAAGGCAAATCTTTTCTCAATACACACACCTATTAATTTAATTATTAACTAATTTTCTCAATCCACACCCTTAAAATTACAATTACATCCTTCACTCATAACCATGGTGCACACACTTTACCCTCAAATCCACACACTTTTATTGACCCTAATTCACATTTGACTGTTGGAGGCACAAAAGGGAAGACCAAACTGACTTTTGTTCAAACAGGAAAAATAAGAGCCTTTGAACTTTCCTTACCACCATTGAAGACCTTGAAGACCTTGAAGACCTCCATTGAACCTCTACTAAAAATCATTGAAAACCCTTGTTTAAGGTAAGAAATATTTTCATTTTATTATTACATTTATCATTTTGTTATTGCATTTACCCTTGTTGTTTACGGTTTGGAGCTCTCGACACTGCTTGTCCGAATTTCTTGTTTAATTCGGACCTTAATCACCGAATAAGTTGTATTATTTCGACCAATTAGATCCGAAAAAAGTATAAACTTTCAAAGTTTGTTTGCCGAATCTGATACATTGTTTTGGTTCTATAGTTCCGAAGTAATGCAATATTTTCGACATTTGGTTTCCGAAATCTTTGTGTGTTTTTCGACACTGAAGTTCTGAATGTTTTTTTTTTTTTTTTTTTGTTTTTTTTTGTTTTTTAAATGATATATAAATTTACACCAAGTTACATAGGCCACCAAGATTGGTTTTACTTTAAGTTCTTTTCCAACAATTTATTTTATGGGTATGTTTATGTATTTATTGTTTTTTTCGAAATTCATTGCGTAACAATAGAAACAAAAATCTCTGTAGTATTGGTATTTCCACATTATATTGTTAGCTTAAGTAGTTGTTATTGCTATATTGGTTGATGACTATAATTTGACTATTTGATTTTATATTGTTAGTGTTTTCACTATAAATGCTATTTTGGGTTGATGAGAACAACTTTCCTGATTCAGATGGATGTTGGTTCCAGTCAACGTCGGTCAGTAAGAGCTTTGAACAGAAGACTTCGTGAATTAGCAAATGTTGGACGTGGACATGGACGTGGACGTGCTCGAGTGCATGATGATGACATGCACATTGCCATAGATGATGATCTTATACATGATGTACCAGTTATGGATGATATTGCTATGGATAATGACCCTACTGGTTATGACGCTGACATTATTGATGAAGATATCCTTACTCAGTCATTTCCGGGAGGGCCAACTGATCCATCAATCCTTAAAATTTTTAAAAGTCATGTTGCCGTAGCTATTTGGAATGATGCTGATGAAAGGGGGCTTGAAGTGTCATAATCACTTGTCTAAGATTCATTTGTGGCCGTGGTGGGAACAAGGAAACAATGTTACATTTGTAAACATTGCGGAGATGTCAGGACTTGCACATTTAATTCGTTGCACGTACCGTTTTGTCAACAAAATTGTAGTGTCTAGTTTTGTTGAAAGATGGCAACCGGAGACAAACACCTTCCATTTGACTGTTGGAGATATGACTATCACATTAGACGATGTCGTCACTATCCTAGGGTTTCCCATTGTAGGCAAATCTATTAGTGTGCAAAAGTTGTCAGAAAGGGGGGCCATTGCATTAGTAGTTAATACCTTGGAAATTGATGCGCAAGAGGTCAGACATGAGATGTCTAGTGCTAGAGGCAATTTAGTGAGGCTTGAGTGGTTGAGGGCACACTTTCATAATGTCACAGACAATGATTCAATGGAAAGAATTGCTTGTGCAGGTAGAGCATACTTGCTATTTTTGTTGGGTTGTACACTTTTCAGCGACAAGACTGGTACTAGGGTCCCCATTGTTTATTAGAGTTTGTTGTCAGACTTGACGACTATATCTTCATATACTTGGGGTGTTGCTGCATTGGCATACTTATATAGACAGAAGGGGTATGCTAGCAGGTCCGGCATGAAAAAAATAGCCGGTTATATGACACTCCTTGAGGAATGGATTTATGAGCACTTTCGTGGATTTCAACCACACTTGAATATGAATTACACTCAAGACATGCCACATGTTTACCGTTGGACTTCTCGGAGAGAGTTTGGTGAAAAGACACAGTTGCAGGCTTTTCGAGAGGAGCTTGATAGGTTGGGTGTACATGATGGAAGTTAAAAAGTCTTTCAAAATTTGAAACTCTATATTATACAAAATTTACAGTTGTCATATCTTACAATTGTTATTGTTTGTAGGTTATTTGAGACCCGTACCAGAGTTGCAGAGATGTCCATCCGTATCACCCAGTTACGTTTTACCACAGTTGCCTAAAATGTTTGGAAGTAGTCGAACCATATCACCCTGATAGAGTTTTGAGACAGTTTGGTAGAGTGCAAACAATCCCTAATCCACCACTTGGCCCTATATGTGCTTCTCGAGAAGCCACAACTCCATGCTACAATGTTATGTATGCATACTTGGACATCATTTGGGAGGCATGGGGCAACCATGTGTTATCTGATCGGAGGAGGAGTACACCGGTACGGAAACCTTGGGATTGTATTTCTGGTTACATGGATTGGTGCCAAACCATTACCCATATGTATGTTCAAAACCCAGCGCGTCGTTTTCAGGTGGACCCGAATATTTATCATTATCAATATCCTAGCCAAGACGCACATGTACTTTTTTTTTCATTTATATTACAAATTATTTATGTAAACTGTTATAGGTTTGTATATAATGTTGTATTTGTTCTCGTAATACGTCGTATGTCACAGATATATCTGATTACTCATCCTTTCATTGAGGTTGGCTATAAGGACAGTGTACAACATCCTGATATACTTTACTACGCAATTGATGCAATTGAACAGTTTCTTCAAGATTAGCACATTAGTGAAGCTATACCTAACACATCCACTCAGGGTCGGTCTGCACCCAGCTCTTCTACTGCACATCATTTTGGAGCACATTACACTTGTCAGTCATGTAGTTGAAAGTAGTTCATAATGTTAGCACAAGTAGTTTGTGATAGTGTTGGTGGATGTATAAGGATACAAATATTATTATTATCTTTGGATTATGTACTTCTTGGATTTTGTATTAGGAGACATGTATTTTGTGATGATGTGGATGGATTGAACTACTAGCTAATATTATTATTTCTTCTTAGATACTTGTTTTTTAATATGAATAATCTTTAACATTAGTTGCACTTGGTTAATATTATTTTCATTATGTTTTGTGTCCAGACAATGTAAAAATAATATGATAGCCATTCCATAAATAAAGAACTATAACTCATCTGATATTGTATTAAAAAAAAATGACCATTACAAAATCCAATGGCAAAATGATATCTATCTAGTTACTCCATACTAGTAAATCATGAAAACTAATGTTTTAAACCTCTCATAACTGCTCTCTAATACATCAATCTATGTCAACTACATCAAATATCTCTCGAGTAGCTACATTAGGTCCTATGTTGTCTTTGAATTGTTGAATGAGGCTACCATACGCATTCTCCCATTCTGATGCACAAGGGTGATGGTGAACTCGCCAAAGTATAACAATGGGAGGAACTGGATGACCGGCCTCCAAAAATACTTACACGTACATCTAAAAAATTACATATTTTTACTAAATCTAATCAAATTTGCAATTACACAAATATTAAACAACAATGTTAGGTTATTTTCATAAGTTATACCTGACAAAATGATTTCTATTGACAAATCCAATGGCAATCTCGCGACAATCAGCTAGGGTTACTGGCGGTGATCTCAAAGGTAAGAAAGTGAGACACTATGGCAATGGCAAGTGGTACAAGACTACATTATAAAATGATGCAATAAGGTGCCCCATGTTAGGCATAGTCATCCAATGATCAAAGCCTGGGCTATCTTCAAAATATGAAAGGATATGTGTCAGCTCCTCAACCCTCTTATGCGACCCGTATAGTGCAATGTATTCATCTCTGTGATTATTCAATTCATGTAGCAGATCATACCTAACTTGCACCCAATCATTCTCTCCAAGACCAAGTAAACTTGCAATAGCTCTAAAACCAATTTTTCCATCACCATCTACATCCTTCATCTACTTTATGAATGGTATTAACATAGGCGGGAAGTCACAAGCAAATGCACTCGGTAAACTTGTTCTTGTACGATATGTCTTTGTCTTCACATTCCGTTTCTTCTCATACACTTTCGAAGCTCTCTTTTTCTTTGACTGATTGGAAGCTAATGTGTGCTTTGGCTATCATGGCCATTGCCAACCAACTCAAATGCACGCGGGTCATGATGACAAAATATATCAATTTTCTTATGTCCTCAACGTGGATTGGGCTTCATATCAAGCTCAATAAGAAAAGTGCTCGTTGGATTTGCAATTTCCCTAAACTTCTTCAACATATCCAATTGCGTAGCAATACCAGACTCATTGAACCGCTTCAAAATCATCTCAAGTTCTGGGATACAAGTCATTTCCAATTTATCAACCTTGGATTATGCACACATATAGTAAGTCGTGTCCAATGTACATGTATGCTACTGAGTGGAATAGGACGGCCTTGTCTCATGTAATCTACAATCTTGTGAGAACAAGGTAAACCATGCGTGCATCTAAGCACACATCCACATGCTGCAACATCAATTCCAACTGAATTTGCTCTCTTACTCTCTGCCAACACGTACTCCAATGCACAAATAGACACATTACCCTGGAGCTCTCTGAATTGAGAAGGATTGAAGATGTTGCACAGTTGTCAAACTCTTCTCGAATGATGTTTTTATTTGAATGTGCTACAACTCAAGTAGACAATATATTTTTTCAAATGAAATCTCAAATGTCATTTGTCTTGAACCTAATTACCTTTTCAATCTAACATAAGCACTCTCAACCCTGTTTATAGCGATTTTGATTTTGACCCGACCCTTATTGGATTCTGGACTCAGGTTTCATGGTATAGTATCGTTGATCTTGTCTTGCTTCCCTTGTGTTTCTTTGAATTCGGCTATTGGGTTGTTGTGGTTGGGTTTGGGATAGGTTGATTGCTTAGTTTCTAAACTTTTGTTGCCCAAATTTTTACTCCTCCGCTCGAGCAGGCTTTGCAAACTCTCAGTACTTTTGCAGGTTTGCAAAACTACTGGGAGAGTGAATTATGCACGTGAGCGGTTCTTTTTGCGCTCGAGCGGCCTCAGCTCGAGTGACCTTTCTTGCGCTCAAGCAGTTGGTCTGTTGTCTGCAAAACTACTGAAAGTGTGCATTCTGCACTCGAGCATCATTTCTTATGCTCAAGCAGAATAACTTATTGTGTTTGACGCTCGAGCGTCACTTCTTGCGCTCGAGCGGATTGTGCATATAACAGCTTGTAGCAGCCTCCTCCCACATCACTTTTTCATCTCTTTTCCTTCCAAAACCCTAAATCTAGAGCCTCTCTCTCTAAATCTTAACTTCTCTCTACATTTTCATCTAGATCCGTTAGTTTCTCTACCTGTGTGTCTTTGTTAAAAAGGTAGAGCGTCTCAAGAGATCCATTTTGGCCCGAACAAGATTTGGTTTCAGCTTCTTTGAAGTTCTTCCATTATTGCTTTGGTCTTCTAAGCTTGAGGTAGGGACTTTCTACATTCTCTTATGATTTTTAACTTAGTTATTTGTTGATTGTGTAATTAATGTTGGGATTTAGAGGATTTTAGACAAACCTAGGGCTTTCGTTTAAAATCAAATGAGGGGTTTTCAAATAAAGGTATTGAAAATGGTTATGGGTATAGATATGAGGATGTGTTGTGTTAAATTTGTCAATTTTGACACATGATTAGATTTGGAAGAAAATGGAGTTTTGCCCTAAAATGTTTCAAATGATTATTTTGTATAAATAATGGCATTGGTATGGGAAATGTGAAATTGGATAGATGTTTATATAAATGGTAGCGTTGGATATTGTTATCTTTCATTTATGGAAATTTAGAATGTTTATCTGTTTTGAAAATTGTATATCTGTTTAGAAATATCTATTTGGGCTATCGGTAGAGGATAATTATGATTGTTGTAGAAATTGCATGAGGATTAGGTGAATTAAAACTAATATCTTAACTGTTGTCATTGAATATGACTGTGTTTGGATGTTGATTATAACTTTTGATGTATATTTCGATTTTTAATAAAATTAGTATTTTTAAAATTCTCTCATCAAGATCTATCAAATAAGATCCATGTTGGCTATGAAATTCTTTTAAAAAAAAAATTATTACGACATGTTACTCTGTTTGACAGTTTTTCTATTTGACAGTAATATGTTATTGTGTCTCAGAGTAACATGTTATTCTGTCTGACAGTAACATGTTACTCTGACAATATTGTCCAAGAAAAAAAAAAAAGAATTGGCTGACATCTCACATTTCCCAACCAATTATTGAAGGACTCTGTCATGTTATTGGTGATGTGATCACTCCTTATCCTATCATCAAATGCATGCCTAGACCTTCCTTCAACTAGAACTTTTTGCAACCATCTAAAAGAATCATTTGATATGTCTTTAATGGCTTGCATAGCCTAATCATACTCTCTTTGTATGCCCTTGTAGCCTTCCAGAATTGCTTCCTTAATATCAATCCAAGAAATTTGACTCTAAAATTGTTGAACAAGTGCATGCAACATCTTCTATGACTTGCCTTTGGTATAATGTGACTCACAATCTTGTCAAGGCCCTATACACACAAACAATGTAATATTAGTAAGCATTAAAATTATACAAATAGAGGACAATGCATTATGTAAGTAAATTAGTTGTTAAATAGGTAAGTAAATTACCTTTTGTCGATCAAATATGATGGTCCATGGCCTAGAAGGCAGTGCATCTTCTATGATTGTTCTCAAGTTCTCTAAAAATAAAGAGCAACTATCCTTACATTCACCCTCCTCTACTACCAATGCCAATGGAAACAAACTATTATTTCCATCTAAGGCAACTGTTGAAATTAACACTCCACCATAGGGACCCTTCAAGTGATAACCATCTACCCCTATGAAAGGCTTACATCCATCAATAAACCCTTTTTTCATTGCCTCAAATTATATGAAGATCCTTTGGAACAATGGATACTAAGGAATAGGGTATGGTTCTTCTCCATCTTCTGAGACTGCAGTAGGAGGCAGGTTATAATTCATGACAACTAAGCTACTAGGGTTTGTTTTCTTAATTTCATTAACATATGTTGGTAGCAACACATACTGGCTTCCATGATCACCCTCTAACTCCTCATTGCACCTTATTTTGGCTCTATACAATTACATTCTTGAAGACTCAATTCCAAATAGTTTGTTAAGCTTCACTTGCATAGTATCTAACCCCATGTGTGGATTATCCTTAAGACTGTCAACCAATTTCTTGGTAATCCAAGTTAATGTTGCTTCACTATTTTGGTTCATCCTGCTACATGTGTGATTAGGTACCAAGGTTTTGATCTTGTAAGTGATCCCATCTGGGAGAGGACATGCATGAATCCTCCAAGGGCATCCCTCAACAGCACAATGGGTTATCACTCTGGCTTTTTCATTTTTGTGCCTCACTATCTTAAAACCAGTCTGCACTGTATAGTCCCTTAATGTAGCTCTGAACCTATGTACATTTGGAAAAAATCATTCCCTTTTCTAATACCACTTCTCCTTCTTGATTGAAATATTATTCTTTTCCACTGTAGGTACTATCAAATTGGTTGCCTAGATATGCCATCTCTTTATCATCCATCTAGTCCACTTCACCATCAAATTCATTATCATTACTAGAATACATCATCACCAGATTTGTCATGACTAAGTACATCATCATCATCATTTGACTCCTCATTACCCTCATCACTCAAACTCCCAGTGCCATTTGATT